CAACGCTAAAATTGGGAGTTCGATTCCCCTCGGTGGACATAGGATACAGCCCGATGTGGTTTTCTATGAAGAAAAACACACTTCTTTCAGCACATTTTCAACACACGTGTTACTCTCCTTTCAACGAATTGGTGGTTGATTTTTTTTATATCAACAAACCTCTTTCGTTTCTTCGTTCATTTATTAATATTATTGTGAATAAGCTGTTTTCAAAATAGATTAGGCTTCAGATCAAATCGTTTACTAATGATTACTCGTAAGGTGGCTTATTAGCCTCATTCTATGTCGATTGAAAATACAGCAGTTGTAATTTAGTGTACATTTTTTCATTCATATTTTTTCTTTAGCCCTAAAATAGTTTCAACATGTTCACAAGTTTGGATACCTTACTACACATATTCATACAAGTTTTATCGAGCATCCATTTTAATCTTTATATCACGCTAGGTGCCGCTTTCTTTCAAAGGAAACTTCATTTATATATATATTGGACTTTAAAGAAGAGACCTTTCAACTACTTCTATCTCACAATAAAATTGACAGAAATAAATAGTTGAAAGATATCTCCTTAACAATCCAAGGTGTTAATTAAGTTTCCTTTGAAAGAAAGTAGCACCTAGTGTGATATAAAAATTAAAATGGATACCCGATAAAACATGTCTGTCTAGTGTTTTATTTCTTTTTATCAAAATAGCTCAACTGCTCGATTCTTGAAAATTCTGCAACAGTGAAGAACCTCGATCTTGAAATAATATTGCGTACATGTATTAATATACCATAATAAGTTTAAAAATCCACATTTTAGCGGATATAACGTAGAACAGAATAAAAAGGTAAACTTCTCTACTAACTACGACATAGTTATTTTGACAATATGGAGATTTTTTTAAAACATGCCAATCGAAATGCCCCTTTATCATTACTTCACAGAGTCTCTCATCAGAAGAGGACACAGCAACAATCACATACATATAATGTTGTTTATATATAGACTGTTTCAGGAAGTCGCTTAATAGAGTAAGTCTGCTTTTACTGCAGATAAAGTGAATAAATAAATATATATATAGATATATCAGATGAAACGTGCCAATGTCCTTTCCAAATATCACAAGCGCCTTGGATTTGAGCTGTCAGAGATCATTACAGAGGAGAGCGTTTGTTCGTCTTGATGTATTTACTTGTGAATTTACAGACGAGCTCTACATACGCACATATTCATCAACTGACTAAGTCACCTGACCAAACCGCAATGTATTTATAATAATATTCAATCGGAATGAAAAAATCCGAGATTTGGAATTGAAAGCGACAGGAACTTGTTAATAGACAAACATGTTGCTTTTAAAATTTTAAGATAATTAGTACATGGCTTATAGATTAAAAAGACACAGTGCCACCTGGAGGCTATTCACAGAACTACATATACATCTCAAGACATCATAATGCCACGAGAGCAAAGTGACAGAAGAAACCAGCCCAACAGCTCAAGTGGCTTTCCGAACTCTGTACAGTTAAGTCTACGTAGGTGACAACAAATCTCGGTCACGCACCTGCTTCAAACATCTAAAATACCGCTCGAATCCAAGCCCTCTTGAAGCATACTCAACTGTGCAAGCTGTATAACCTAAAATGTTATCGATGACCTTGTTAAACATTATTAACTGTGTTCCCTACGTGTAATGAATTCAGTTACGCTTAAAGAGAGAACAATTAAAATTGAATAAAACTCACTAGGTGGCGCTAGTGGCAGGAATTAAATAAGACCACAATTTTGTATTTCATTATTAATACTTTAATTAAGCTGTTAAATAATAAATAGAATATATTATAAAAATGTCCAGATAAAACAATACTACGCTGAAGAGGTGAGGTCACTATATAAAAGTCACGCAATACATAACGCGTTAAACGGTTATATATATATATATATATATTTATGTAAACCTGAGCTATAAATTTATAATGTTCGTCATGTCGACTAGAACAAGTTCAAATGCAACTTGGGTCACCCGTTCAATAACAGGCCTCGTCCACGAAGCAGTTTGCTCATACGGGGATATACGTTTTAGATAGATTCTGTTTCAGAAGGCATCATTATAATGGCTTTGTTATATCGGAGTCAAAGTGGTACATTGAAGTTTTGTTGAAAACAAAAGTTTTTCACAATAAAAATGTATAAAAAGAGAACATAATATATCCAATACATGTATGTAGTGGAATAATACCAATTTAATCTTTATTTTCTTTTTACTGAAGAAATTGCTCAAACAGCACAAAAAACTTCGAATATTGACTGTTCAGAACATGACACAATTATTGCTATTCAAGAATAGTTTTTTTTTTTGCTTCCCTAAATCCCCCACCTAATAGCTCAGCGGTAAGTCTCTGGAGTTATGACTATAAAAATCATGTTTCGATACCCGTGGAGGGCACAGCACAATTAGCTTATTGTGTAGCTTTGCGCTTGACAACAAACAAACAAACATCCAAAAATGTTTCGCCGACATTATTTACATAAATAAAGGGCATTTGAGTTGGTTGGTTAGAAAAGTGCTACGACATATATATTTCATGAAAAGACATGAAGCGTGAAATGCAGGTTCTGAAGGTCTTCTGTGTCTAAGACTTCATGGAAAAAAAATGATAAAATAAAAAAAGCGTGTCTATGAATGTATCAGGAGGTTGATATAATCTCGCCAAAAAAACATGTTTCTAGTTTCAAAATCTCAGTAGAACAATTTTCATTTCAAATGTATTGTTTCCAGAAAACTTCTAGAACTAACAGATAAAATTGTATTGAGTTAAAACGAAACGTTTGGAGTTAACAGATAAGACTCTTCTACGTTTAAATAAAACTTTTGGAGGTAAAATATAAAGTTTTTCTATGCCCCAAAATGCGTTATAATACACAATTATGAGTACACTTTTCGTTGTACGCTGATAGGAGACAAAACAATCAATTAACATTAAAGATATGATAACTGCTATTGAACGCCACATTCAATTGTTCATTTACCCTAAGAATGTTCCTATAAAATTCCTTTTGGCTTCAAACTCACTTCGAACTTGTCATGTTGTTTATCACTAGACACATCCTTTACCAAATTCAAATGAAAAAAAAAACGCAATTTCCTGTTTTTGTACGTTTACTTTTTGAGGGGTATTACCATCATGGTGTCGTACTACCTATGTGGTAGTTCGCGTTCATTTGGAGGAAGGGAATATCGGCCTTTTGCTTTTCCAGGAATCACACGTTCGTCTTTGTTATCGTGTCGTAAAAAGTAGGCGCATTTCGAATCACAAATCCTTGTCAATAACTCAAAATTTCGAAGAAAATTTACTAAACTTTCCTTTCGAGCTAATTCCTGCTTTAAGTACGACGTATATTAATTATGACATAATGTTCTATACACAGCAACCCACAAGTTAATTTTTATGAATCACTTGTCTCAGAATTAAACCATTTGTTGAGCTGATTTGCTTAAGTCCTAGTATCCCTACTGACTTAGCAACAAGACTATTAGACTTTGAGTATCATAGTTACGATATTTCGTTTCGAACTGTTTTTAATTTGTTTGTCGTTAATGGTGTGTTATAACTGCTATATTGAGAAGCCTTTCATCTGGCTTCGGTTTCCAGGCTCGATATGAATCAATAAGTATGAATTAATAATAAATTTCTACCTGAATAAAAATAATTGGAAACGTATTTTTGAGCTCTTATAACGTCAGTTTTGTTAAGCCCGCATAAAAACTGCCCTATCGAAACAAGCCTCACTTGAATCGCGAGAAAACTCGTGCTTCCCTCAGGGCTGATCATAAAATCGTCAGGCTTGCTATAGCGAGTACATTTATAACACATTAAACACGTGTGTCCTTTCTATCCATTGGTCCATTATTAAAGTAGGTCGATGAAAAAGTGCTTTAACCTTTAAAAGCGAACAGTTCACAGTTTTGCTGTCTCTATGAAACAAACACGTTCGAATCACAATGAATATTCGTTCGGTTCTGCCTAGTGACAGTGTTTTTTGTTCTTATTGATTTTCACTGCAACATGGTGAGCTAAAAAAGGAATCTACAGTCTTCCATAAAGGCCTGTTATCTGACGCTTGTCGTTTCTGACATGTGCTCATCCACAACTAAAGAAACTGGAGAAGCTCACCAATAAGCAAATTTTCGTCTGCCTCTGTCAACATTAAACAAAAGGGTAAATTTTTGTACATTAGCTGAAATTCACCATGTTTTGCCTGAATATCGTTTGGTTAATAAAATCTGGGCCTTATTACTAGCAGCGGTGAGTTAGTGGGTGCATATATTCATGGTTTCTAGAATGGAGTAATATGCAGAAAAAAAGTTGATAAACGTATTTAGTTGACGACCTTAACTTCTGCTCCATCTTGTAGTTTTAAAATGTGGAAATGAAGTGAGTTAAAGATGCTGTTCAATTGTGATTTTGCGCTTATTAGGTCACGAGGCGAATTTCTCTCTTTTAAGTGTAATACACAGCACTTACAAGACCTTTCCGAAACGTTCAATAGACAATTTTCGCCATTTCCATGATCTAACTCTTCATCAGTGAATTAAGATTGACTTAAAATGAGCAAACATTGAGAGTGATTGTGTAAAATTACGTTTCCTCAGGTTAGACATTTGTTTCATTGTTCACGTGATCTCAACCACCATTATATTACACAGAATAAGTGTATATTTCAACATTTAGTTTTGTTAGCAACCGTCAGGGTTAACCTGCTTAACTTAATAACCGTATGGGTAGCATTCGTCTTAACACTGACAACCGTCTGGGTAGAAACTGTTTAATTAATTTAATTTTAAGAAGTTAAATGCATTAATGAGGATATATAAAACAAAGTGTTAATTGGCAGATTTCATATTGGGTTATAGTAGTTTAGAAGTGTTGCCTTTAAATCATATCAGTAACAAGTGGCCAGTTGCTTAAAACAAACTAAAAAAAAAGAACGCTTAAAATAACCTGTTACTCACGTGATCAACGTCCTTCCAGGTCCGGCGCTTCGGTCAGTGGTACGACAATTGAGCTTGGCCCTTTAGTGGCCTCATGAGGGGTAAGCGTACTATCCAAGTGAACTTCGACTAACAGTTAATATCACACAAAAGCTTCTGTCACCGGCACATAAGTGAGGTACACAGACGTTTTTCAACTTCATAAATCACTGTAACCAGCAACCTAAACATCAGAACCGTCCAAGCACTTGTGACGCGCACATCAACCAGAGAACACTTGCTTCTCTAAACTTAAGACGTGCGTACGGCCACTCCGAAACGCAGGTGCGCTAGCAACTCGACGTTAGAGCGTTGAAATTACCTTTTTTTTTCTTCTTCGGATACCTCCCCTTCACACCTGGTCAGGCGAAACAGAGAATTCCACGGTTACTTGAGGCTAGCAGACATCTTCTTCAGCCAGGTATTTTAGTACACAAGCTTGTAGCTTGCTTGAGGGTCGCGAGCAAACGATTATTCAGCAAACTCGCGTACGCGATTCCACTTGGATTTCAGCAAATTGTAGCTTGTTCTCAGAATTTGAGATATTTTGAGGATGTATCCATTATGACATGTCAGTGGAAAGTCGTTTCTGGTCTATAATAATTCCCCAAACTTTATTTTATGAATATGACAAGTATGTCCCGTGAGGTGTCTCTGCGAGATCACGAACACTGGGCAAACCGAACTTACGGAATGTGAGTGTCCTCGTTTACAGGCGACAGATCAGCGGGATGTCGATCACCACTAGTTTCTTGCCTGGACGTTGCCACTCAAAAGACCGTTTCAACAACGAACCAGCATTAACTAATAGTAACAGCAGGAAAACCAGCGTCGAACTGTTCTCGGAATATGCGAACTTTGGAGTGTGTCAGACGCGTGGATTGAAGTATTGTATATCACCGTCTTTTCTCTAGAACAGGCAAGCTACTTTCCAGTTGATTCTGGCCAATCCCTTTCTTGACGTACTGCGCATGCACCTACGTTGTTGAGAAATATCGTAGTGCGCATGATTGGTTAGTTAACTAGAAATACATAATAACTATCCATACTCTGGTTTTCCGTGTACTTGTTTTTGAACCTCCTAACTTCTGTACAACTTTTACATCATTCAGAATGTGTTCGTTTACCAGAGCCTTTAAACTTTCCTCTTGTAAATGTCTAAAGTGGGAAAGAGAAGGCCTTAGTAAACATGTGAAGATAGTTTTAGAAGAATAGGAGGTATAAAATGAACAAACAGTTAGAGGAGAGACAAACAAATACAAAACATTAGTTACCTCCCTCAAATAAACAATAAACGAAAGTCATGAAAACCTAACCTGTTTGTGTTCCTCTGTACAGATCACCGCTGAACAAAAGAGAAACCCCGAGCTCCCAGAACAGTTTTCAGAGAGATTTCAGTCGTCGGAGCGAGACAGCCTGGCGTCACGGGTCGACCAGTAAGATGAGGATGATACAAGTACTTCAAGTCCATTTTTGAAGCAGCTGTGCCTTTCACACCCCTTCCATCGGTACTTGTGATGTCAGTGTGAATGTAGTCATAAGCTCTTTAGAGTAGATCACTAAGTAAACACGAGAACTCACACGTGGTAAGCTGTGGTCTGGTAATTGTCGAAGCAGGGCAATTCATGAGACATTAACTTATGTATATAATCTATTCCATATAGATTTTTGATACACGTGTTCCTTTTCTTTTTTCTTCTTCTTATTTGCTTGCCACATGAGCAGGAAAAAAATTTAAGGGCATTTTAGTTTCTCTTTAAAAGTCATGTTTATGGAAATGTTGAAATAGGTTTTAAGTAGCATTAGTCAGTAGAAAATTATTGATATTTCCTGAGAAATCGAAGCTGAGATTCTCCCCAAAACTGTTTTGTAGCTCTCGTGCGAAATTTCAGTAAATACAGGGAAGTTGGAAATTGTGTTAATAAAACATTATTAACATTTGTTTCCTAATGTCTCCGAATCACGTGCAAACGCCCCATTAACATAATTTCTGGACACCCTGTATGTATTTCTAGCATGAGTAGAAAGAATTGCTAAAAGTTCAGATAGAAAATGACATTATTTTTTTTTTATCAAACCAACTAAAAGTTATAAAGTTTGTAGCATCCCAAAAGTTCATTTCATTGCTTCACATGGTTTGGGATAAATAGCTATAGTCTAAAAGGTAGGGTGCACCGTATCCTTAATAATTATAAGTGATTTACTATATTGAAGGAGAAATACTATCGTAATGGTTATGCGTATATCTCACTAAGTCTTTTTTTTTTTTTCAGTTTTACACATTGACTGTTTCTACAGTGAATGTCTGATTGTTTAATGTAATATTTGTTAATTACTTGGGTAAGTATCTGTGCATCTCACTATTAATTCAATTATAGCATAAGCTAGGCCTATTTGTTCATGTGATATTGGTTCTTTGGAAACCAAATCTCTGAATGTTTCATATAATATTCGTTGAGACTTGGTAGGCATTGGTGACTACTAATGACCGAGTTCTACGAACACTGTGTTGCCAGATCTACGATAGCCCCATCTATCGGGTAATGGCGATAGTTCAAGGAGTAATATTGAGTTACAACATATCTTCTCATTTTCACTTTTTTTTTACAGAGTCATGGCTTTTAATCTATCTGATTTATTTCCAATAAACTATTTCAAGAATAATGATAAGAAGACACAATTTGGTGGTCAATTTAATCAATTGAAAATATGAATTTTACAGGGTTTGTTTTAAGTTGTAGTTTAGACGGTGTAGACATAGTTCTGGCTATAATAGAGTGCTTCTGCCTGTTTCTGAAGGAAGCCTCAGTATAAAAGCCGAATTGTCGTCTCACTTCAGAAACAGGCAGGAGCACTCCATTATAACCAAAAGCCTGCCAATACTACTGGTTGGTTAGGAAGTAATAATTTTATAGATTTAGATTTTTAATTCTAAGTGTTAAGTTTGTTTATCGATTCTTTTGCTCCACCCATAAAGTAAACAACTGAGTTTTCTTAGTTTACATGCCTATCATTAAATCACTCCATTTTCTTCTAGTTTTTCTTGTTTTATTTTGTATATACCATCCGTACCTGTAATCTATAATTTTTTCTAACTATATACTATGAAGAGCTAGGCCTAGCATGGCGTGGTAGTTGAGGCGCTTGACCAGCAATCTGCGAATTGCAAATTCGAATCCTCGTCGTCAATCGTGCTCGTCCTTTAGGGATGGCGTCTGGGTAGGCCATCCTCGTGTGAATATCCTTGGCTTGCAAAATTACCGGCCGATCCCAAATTATGTGGGATTAAAGTCGTTACAGAGAAGAAGATACACTGTGAAAAGTTAAGCAAATGGTCCCTTTTGTGTGCTTTTTCTGCCTATCGGTTTGCCTACTAACGTTTCTGTTATGTCAAATACTTATACTTGATATGTCGTTTAGAACCAACAGCTGCTAAAGAGATTATACGTTTCAACTACAATCGCTCTCTCCAAGATACAACTCATAACGAGATTATGTTCCAGTTTTGATGGGTTGCTGCGAGGGTATCCAAATGATGAAACAATGCATTCTGATCTTTACGAGAAGAAACGTCAGAAAATTATATTTAATTTACTATATTAATGTCCAGGGTGATTTTGGGTTTTTCTCTAAGTACGTATCTTATTCTGAATGGAAGTTATTAATATTATTTGGACTCAACTCCTAACGAAATTATGTACCAGTTACATCTTCGAACTTTTAGGTACAACATCCAACGAGATTACGTTCCAATATTACTTATTTACTGATAGGCACAACTTCCAACGAAATTATGTCCCATTTACATCTGCGAGCTTCTAGATGCAACTCCTTATGATATTACGTTTCAACTACAGTTGCCTGCCTCTAGATGGAGCTGCAAACCAATTTTAATATTTAACTAAGCAGCAAGTAAAAATAACCTCTCCACTTAAAAAAAGTCCACTTTAGACTATATCTTCATAGCTAAATCAGTGTTAATATTCACAAAAGAAAACAAAAGAAGAATATACATTATTACGTATACTTCATATTCAAAACGTAAATGTTCTTGTGTAAATACTCCAACTATTTGAACTTCGTGATAAATCTAACTCGTCTTCACTCCTCTTCCTCTCACAAACAAAATAAATAAATCATAAACTTCCCTTTCGTAACTAATATACATTTGGGAAGTATTGTAACCCTGTGAAGGACTGTCGCATAATTAATTAGAATCGACAAGACCTTAGCAATAATGAACTTACATAAGTAAGAGGCGCCTTTTGAAGCTGAAGATTGAAAGTTTCCATTTTAATGATTTTTTTTAAATATTCGTTGAAAAACAAGTAGCGATGAGGATGAAAGGTAAAGATTAATTTATTGGAGAACTCCAATTTGGTGCACAAAACTATCAGATTCGTGTATTTGTTATTCGTGTTTATGTTTTTCTTGCTTTCTTTGTTTTTATCCAAAGTATCACAATTCGAGGCTACACTACAAAGGATTCAATATAGAAACACAACTGTTAGAGAAGGGATCATGTACAGTAAACCAGGGTAAGAACTTTATTCATGAAGAAGAACAACGACAATAGCAACATGTGTTCTGATGAGAGAGAAAACAGAGAAGCATGTTCATATGACAACAGTACTTATGTTAATAAGGAAACTGAAGGTCATATATATATATATATTCACATGTAAAATGTTAAAAAACTCTTCACAATTGTTGTAGATCAACAAATCTATTACAGTCAGATCCCATCATTCTATGGGATTGAACTTGCCGAGTTACTTACGATTTAATCGAAAATCGTCGCGCATATGTTATGGATATGAATGCTCTTCAGTAGGTTAGGCAGATTTTTCTGAGTATTACCACATCAAGTATTATTTCTAAGAAACCATAGCTGCCCATCAAGGACACAGTGAATTGCTGTTTACTATTCGTTAATTGGCTAACAGCAGCAGCAGCAGAAAGCTCTTGTAATTGACCCCAGCTGGGCAGTGCCGTAGAAAAACTCAGCTTTCTTCTCAAGCTCTTCCAAAAGATTCAATAAGAGCCACGATGAGAAAAGAGATTTGTTGTTTTGGTTTTAGTTTTCATGATGGGGCGTTTGCACGAAGCAGGTGTTCCACTTAAGTCGTGTTTCGTAACGTGGTGTCATGGGAAACTGTTATGGAATCGATCTCCCGGTTGTTGAAACGTTTCGTTCTCTTAAATGAATCTATCTATCTATCCGTTTGAGCCCCCTCCCCTTCCCACCCGGTGGCTCAGCAGTAAGCTCGAGGCTTTATAACACGAAAATTATGGATTCGATCCATGCGGTGGCCACAGCATAAGAAGCTTGTTTGTGCTTAACAACTAACAAACAAATCTATCTGTCTATATGTCCGTCCACTGGCGTTCTTTCAATTTATTTTCTGTCATTGTTTGTCTATGTATATTACTATCTATCTGTCCGTCTATCTATCTATCAATTCATTTGACAACTAGTTAATTCTTAAAACACAGAAAGCTTAAAAAATATTCTAATTCAAAAAGATAACAGTATATATATATATATATATATATCGTAATCACTTAAAAATGCATATATAACGTAGTTAAAAAGTTTCATTTATTTTCCTAAATTAAAAATTTCATTGTGCTCGCACTTCTCTACTGAAATATTATTAAGTATTTCTGCCAACCGTTTAATTTTTATGCTTTTTCTGGAAATCTTAATACTATTCGTTTCAATGTAAGTGTTATTCTGAGCTATGTATTCTTCAGAATGTTATTTAATCACATGATATAAGGACTTAGATAGAACCCGAAACGTCGTTTAGAAATCAATAACATGGAATGTAAAAGTATGTGTGTATATATATTTATATACATACATCAACTTTACTAGGCCAGTGTTGAGAGATTCAACAGTATACATTTGAGTATAAAAACGAAACATAAGGAAAAAAGATTCTCACGGGAGGTATTTTGGAGTTGTTTGTTTCTTGATCATTGCTTCAAGAAGTCCAGAATGAAATATATTTTGGTTCTGTTTATAGATCTTACTTTATTTGCTACAGTAACATGATGATGATGTGCTATATCATTCTTGCTCCTGTCTTCTTCAATATGCTACAGCTACATGATGATGTGCTATATCATTCTTGTTCCTGTCTTCTTAATTTTTTTTTTCACTATCAAATTATGAATTTAGATACATTGATAGACAAACGGACGGACGGGAGGAGAATGCGGAAAGACAGATTAATAGATTAAAAATATTATAATAATTTATGTAAAGAATTTGTTGTAATAACATTATTGTTTTGCGTTTTAATAAATATATTTTGTACAAAAAGCCAGTTTTTAATGGTTTAGCTTTAGATACCACCACTTTAAAGGTGTGGTTTAAAGGTGCCCAGCTGCAGATCAGAAACAAGGTCAAAGGTTTGAGCCACAATACGCCGCTGAACACGCTATGTAGTTTCGGATGTAGTGATATTATCGTTTTAACCGTCAATATCACTATTTCGTTAATAGTTGCTGCATAGGTGTCGGGTGCTGCTGGCTGGATACTTTACCTTTGGTCAGCAGTTCTAAATCAGGGACTGTACTTTGGGGTTTATGATTTAACCTTTTTAGCCTGTGTCATGTAAGGAGCTGTTCAGGTAAAAAATAACAAATTAACTACCGCGATTCTAGCATTTCGTTCTCTTTTGAAGTTTCTGATCCACTACATTTAGCCCTCCTCCTCCCCCTCTCCCAGTGACTCAGCGATAAGTCAGTAGGCTAACAACGCGAAAAATTTTGTTTCGATGTCCGTGGTTGGCATAGCACAACTATCCCGCTATGTAGTTTTATGCTTAACAACAATCAACCCACTATATTTAGTACAAATTTCAGAAACAAATTTTCTTTAGAGTTACGATTGTCCAAAAGAAAAGAACTTTAATTTTTTTTTTATTTGCAAAAGCCCCCCAGTGGCACAGCGGTATGCCTGCGGAGTTACAACGCTAGAAATCTGATTTCGATACCCGTGGTGGTCAGCGCACAGATAGCCCTATGTGTAGCTTTCTGCTTAACTACAAAAAAAAAATACAAAGAACAGTTAATTTGTAAAAACAAAAAAATAGATATTGTTTTCTGGACACTTAAAAAAACGTTTTCATTTTTTGTTACCATTTTCATAAAGCTTAGGTTCCAAGTTAAGAAAGCGAGTTATGGAACTACCATTA